AAAAAAAAAAAAAAAAAAAAAAAAAAAAAAAAAAAAAGGAAGATGGCTGTAAGATGTGCTGTGTGCGGTGAGATGTAATCGCACACCAGGATAAATAACAGGCTGGAGTGTGGGCCTGTGTGTGCATGTGTGTACACACACGTGAGTCTGGCGCATGTGTGTTATACATGTGTGCATGCTGCAGGTTGTACACGTGTCAGTGTTCATGTGTGTCCATTTTCACGTGCACATGTGTTCATTCATGTGGGTTAACATCCACCTCCAGACATAGCAGGACCATCCAAATTCCTAAAATTCCTCTGTTATCCACCAATCTTCTCAGCCTCCAAGACAATTCACTTAATGTTGGCCAAATGGTTCATTGCTTTATGGGACAATTAAAATAGAATCTAGTTCAACTGATAATTATGTGGATTTATATGTTCCATCAGATCGATTTAAAAGAATAAAGGATCACAATTATGTCCAACAACGTTTTCATTTTCTCCATTCCCAAGTCAATCTGAGGTCCCACAATTTTGGAAGTTTGTCACATATTACCTGTTTGTTTGCTTTCCCAGAAAACATCCAGACATCCTAACAGTGCCAAACCAAACACATACACATAGGCATACTTTAAAAAATAATGTGAAGTAGGCTTAGAATTTCCAAAATAAATCAAACAACCTTTCAACATATCAGTGATCCTTATGGAGAATGCCAGAGGAGAATGGAAACACAAAAAGGAAATAAAATCTGGGCTTAAGATTTACTTCGAGGAGGTATGTGTCGTTATGAAGCTAGAAAGTCATTAAACATTGTGAAACGATGCATTTTTCATCAAAATAATAATGCATTCAAATGAAACTCATCCTTGTCTTACTAAAGGAAAGAAATTTGTAGGGAGTGACATTACTTTCAGTGAACATCTGGGTATTTAGAACAATGCTTACCGGGAAAACACTGTATTTGTCTGAATCGACGTCTTTGAATGGCATAGAAGTTTGTATAGAGCTGGAAGAGAGAAAACAAAACACGCTGGTGAGCTTAGGAAAAAAAGAAATGACGTTTGTAAAATCAAACACACACATTTTCAGACACGGCTGTGTTGAATTCAGGCGACAGAGGGCTCATCTAAAAATAAAGTTCAGGGTCTGTGCGCTGTGTGAGAATGCCAGCTAAACTTGGCCAGTCTCTGCTCTCCACTTCACAGAAATGTCTTCTCTGCTGTTTAATGTGGCTCATGTGGGAAGAGTGAAATAAACGAAGTTGTGGAGGGCATAGAATGTTGAGTGTGGATCTCCAGGAAATAGGAGACTGTGTGGGGTCCCGTCAATAAACTTGGAGTTACAAATTTAATTTGTGTCCTTTTACATATTCTGTTTACTCTCTCCAGCATTCAGTTGTCATTAGCTGGCCACTTTGATCCCCAAGTATGACCCTGGGTAACCACGGATCCGGAGGCAACAATCAACCTAATCATCCCACTCCAAGAGGGCTCATTTCCCCTGCGCCACCACTTCAACTGACCCCCTTTCTAAATGGCAAATGGTTTTCCAGCTAGGATGGTTTCCTACAGCGTAAGGCTCTTCCTGGAACCAAAAATGTGGAGTTAGACTCTCGGCCTTGTTTAGGATTTACTGCATGTTCTTTTGAGTCCAGGGCATCTTGAACTGCTGAGAGTCTCAAAGCCGATGAATGCAGTTCTCCAGAGGGGGCCAGGCTTTTAAAATCTTTTCTCTTATCTGAAGAGTAGGGCTAGGGCTTCAGGGGACCAAGGAGGGACTGATGGTGGCTTCAAAGGTGAGGTTTACCCATTGCCAGCTCTGTGACCTTGGGCGAATAACTTTCCTCCTTTGGAGGATGACAAAAAGGTGCCTGGCTTAGTGAGTTGCCATTAAAACAGCTCTTGGTAAATAGAAAACATTGAATAATTTTTAGTTATTATTTTATTACTGAGCCAGAGGTTGTTTTGAAGAATAAATGAAGCTGTATTTAAGTGAATTTTGTAAATCACAAAGAAGTGAACAAATTGTGATCCAGAGCAAATTATGCTCAGGGTGTAATGATTTTGAATAAAGGAGAGAAACACACTGTTTTTGCTTTTCTTTTCATAAAAGAATAATTTCCCTTTTAAGTTGAGCCAAGAAAATCCTTGGCTGCAGATGCTCTTGAATTTAATTTTTCAAAAGTGGTTCAGTTGAAGAGCTGTCACTTTGGCACTGCTGGCTCCTGCTGGTCCGTGTCTAGCACAGAAAATGCAGAGATGTGTTCACCAAGGAGGGGCAGGGATCCCAATCCCACTGGAGCAAGGCATGATGAAATGAATGGTCATCAGCATCTTTCCTGTGTAATTTCCCTCTCTCCGCCCTGCTCCCTGAGGCTCCTGCATCTCCCCGATTCACAAAAGGGGAAGTGCTACTGTTTCTGGGATCCAGGCCAGCAGTTTGCACAGTGAACCAGAGGGCTCTTGCCAGCAGATGAGCCAGGAAGAGTCTGTAACTCTTGGATTCCTAAGAGGCTGTGAATGTGGGTCAGAATCACAGCTGCTTGTGCCTCTCTCTGGATGTTTTCACAGCAGTTGAGATGTTTAGTGGGTTTATCTCCCACGGAGCTCAAGAGATGAAGGATGGTGGGGTACAGGAAAAGCCTTTGGTATAGGTTGATTTATGTTCACCAAAAGTGTTGAAGTTCTAACTCCCAGTGCCTGTGAATGTGACCTTACTTAAAAATGGGGTCTTTGCAGATGTGTGAGCAAATAAAAACAAGGGCATTAGGGGGCCCTCATCCAATGTAGCTGGAGTCTTTATCGAGGGTAAAGAGATACCCCAGAAAGGTGGCCATAGGAAAAAGGGAGGCAGAGATTGGCATGATGCAGCTGCAAACGAAGAAGTGCAAAGGTTGATGGCCACCACCAGAAGCAGGAAGACAGCAGAAAGGAGTCCACTCTGTCTTAGAGGGAGCCTGGCTCTGCTACTACCTTGATTTTAAACTTTTGGCTTCCAGAACTGAGACAACATACATTTCTGTTCTTCTAATCCACCTATTTTATAATATTTTGTTACAGCAGCCACAGGGAGCTATTCCAGCCTCTCAGACCTAGTATGCAGATGATTCTCATTCTGCATATTCTGAGGTCCGATCTCTGCCTCCTGTAAGGCCCAGGCTGGAGCAGATGGTACTAAAGGAGTAGGTGCTCCTACTGGAGAGTGAGAGTGAAAGAATCAGCAGCTGCAGTGGATGGTTTGGTCTAAATAATCACAGGAAGGGATTGGGGACCCTAGTCTCTTCCTGTGTTCACACTTGGCCATGGGGTGAACAGGCCCTTTTTGCTATGTGCTCCTACCGTGACATATAGTGCCTTTGTCAGAAAAAAAGTCAACTGGTCATAGACTGAAATCTGAGAACCTGTTAGCCTAAGTCAACCTTTCTTCTCTTTAACTTGATTATCTCAGGTAGTTGTCACAGTCATGGAAAGCTGATTAACACATGGGGAAAGGAGAGCCTATGCAATTTTGACTCTTTGTCTGGTGTCCTCTCCAATCACTGTTTGTCTCTTCACATTTTTCTCAGTGGTTCTGTGACATGCAGCTTTACCCTAGGTGCAGAGTGGCACTAGAAACTGAGATGGGGGGCTTGGGAATTCCAGATAGTGTCCTGTCTGGAATCCTTTTCTATGTGTCTGACTTGGCATTGCCAGGTAACAGTCTGCTAGGGTCTGTGAGAAATATAATCCCCTTCCAACCTCCTGAGTGCCTGGTGGTAAAGATGCTTACAGTCCCGGTCATAAGCTGTGGACAACTGCATCTGTGTCTTCCATGGCAAGGGGCGCTGTCCCCAGTGTCATGCAGGGAGTGTCACTGGCACACTGAGTCTGTACTCACAGGTTTTGCCCAGGCCCGTGCATTTCCAACACAGTTTTGTTGGTGCAAACTCACCTTCTAGTCTCTGTACTATCTCTGCTTGGAGCAGAAACAGTGTCAGCTTTATGAAGATGCTTCTTGGATGCAAAAATCATTTTAAGCATAGGAAAACAGACAAGCAAAGATGTTGAAGAGAATACATACTTACAATTTAATTTTCTTACAAATCTTGGCCAAAAATGGGAGTGAGCAAATATCAGAATCACCTTTGAGATATTTCTAGAGAGAGAGAGAGAGAGAGAGAGAGAAGAAAAAAAGAAAATAAAAAGACAGTTGTTTAGTTTGAGAAATGGTTTCCTATGCAAAAGTCCAGATCTCTGGATTTTCCTTCTAGAATCACTCTACTTTACTCATGTCAGTTTACTCCCATTTCTTTCCCACAGTCCACACCGACTCCACCTCCCATGCCGTGGTCCATGATGGTCACTCATCCTGCACGTGCCCTCTTCCTGACACCCTGCCACCCGGCTGCCTTTCTACCTCCCTGCCTCATCACCTCTCCTCAGAATGGTCAGGCCTCACCTTGGTGGCTTCCACTCTGACCACAGCATTTCCTCTATCCAAGTGCGTGGAGAAAGGAGTTGAAAATGAAAACAACACTTTCAAATAAAACAATTCCGTGCTCCGATGGGGAAAAATGAAGTCTAAGGGAGAAATATGGTCAGGAACTTGGGAATAAGGAAGGCCCCTTCCCAGGGGAATGGAGAGGTGTGTAGAAGAGAGGAGTTTTAGATAATGGTGTTTCCTATTATTTTGTTTTCTTTTGAGGGGTGGGGATTGGGTGTTGAACCCATGGCCTTCACACTAAGCTGCATCCCAACCCTTTAAATTTTTTATTTTATTTATGAGACATGATCTTGCTAAGTTGCCCAAACTGGGGTGGAACTTGTGATCCTCCTCCCTCAGCTTGGCAGAGTAATGGGATTCTAGGCATGAACCCCCATGCGCAGTTTAGACAATGGTTTCTAGAAGAGTCCAGATGTGTGCTAAATCAAAACCCCTGGATATTTACTAAGCATTGGTTTTATAAAGACAGTGGTTTCCATGATGCTCTCCTAAAATGAAAGAAAGAGAAAACAAGGTAGGAAAAGTTGGGAACTAGCAATTATCAGTGAAGGTTCTACCAACTTAGACAGTACTTTGGAGTGCTATGAGCTAGCTATGTGTGTTGGATCTATTTTTACCCTGGTGAAGAAAAACAGGCAACCTTTTCAGAATATAAATGAGGTATGTGAGGGTCTAAAAGATAGGTGCTGGCACAGATTTCTAGGAGCAGAGGAGCAGTCCAGACTAGAGATACCATCTCTGCACAAGGCATGGGGACAAAGGAGCTATCCTCGTCCTGCCTACCAAGTACATGCTCTGGGTGGACACCTCATCTTGTGGGTCCTCTTGCAAGGTCCATGGTGCCCAAGGCATTAACAGGGCTTTCCAGGAACCTAGCAGACAATGTAGATGTCCCAGACTTTAAGCAGGAAAAAGGCAGGTGAGAAGTGAGGCACAGATGCCCCGAGGTTCACAGTCCACAACCTCACTAGAGATGCAGTCCTTTGCCCCTCAGACCTACTGGATCAGAACCACTGGGGTAGTTCCAGCAGTCTATACCCTCACAGCCATTCAGTTCACCGTGGTGCCCTCTTCAGGATCCTTCCAGTGCCCACTGAGGTCTGAGATCTGCTGCTCTGGGTCCCAGAGGCTCAAGAAATGACAGCAGACTAGGTGCACTGGTGCCCCGGGAGCCTTTAGAGATGCAGAATCATGAGCCTCTCCCACCTGCTGCGATGTCACTTGTCTGTCACCAAGGTCCCCGATTGCCCACTAATGCTGTGAAGCTTGATCCTGCTTAAGTCTGTAAGGGGCAGATGTCCTAGGGGACTCATGTGCATTTCAGCCTGGCTGGAGCATTGTCAGCCACAGAACAGTGGACCAGAGAAGGAAGGAGACACCATGACAGCCCCAGGGGCATCTACCTGTCACCCTGAAGATCGTGAAGCCTTTGAAGATGTCAGGCCGATGAATCACATTCATGTCTCAAAGGATGCCTCCTGGGGTAGGAGGGAGACTCATGAGAGATAGGAGATGCTGAAGTCAGATCCCAGGGTTTGTAGGTGCAGCACTAGTGCCACTGGGGCTGAATAATCCAGTTGTGGGTGTGTGGCCTGTCCTTGTGCTGTGCTGTGTTTCATACCCACTAGATGCCAGCAGCACTAATCCGTCTCCCATGATCTCACAGGCTCACCCTGCTATCTGTGGTCCACTGTTGTCAGGAATGTCATTATGTGACACCTGACTATATTAGTTTTTGAGTTCTTGAATTTCGTATGAATGGAATCATGTAGGTGGTATTCTTTTATGTTTTATCGCTTTCATCTCCATGTTGTTGCGAATACCCAAAGTTCATTCTTCTTGTAGCTGTTTAGTATTCCATCATGTGACACATGGATTGAGAATATTGTCAGCTTTTGGCTATTAGGAATAAAACTGTTATGAAAAATGCCTAAAAAAACCAAATCTGTTTCCAAACTTTGTCAAATACCCTGGGGGTAAGAAGCAAAACTGCCACAGGTTGGGAACCTCTGATTAACATGGGATGGGTGCAGTGGCACTGGAAAGAAGGGGTATTCAGAAGGTTGAGCAAAGCCTTGGGGTCTGATGGGGGTCAGGACGGTAGTCACACAATAAAACAAGCACTAGCTGAGACTATGCAAAACACTGCTGGTGGTTTGCAATATAGAGACATTCTCAGACCCAGAGTCCAAAGTCAGCTTGCATTTGGATGTTTGAGTTACTTCTTTTAATAGTTACTTTAGTGTGAAGGTCTCAGTCTAATTATCATAATGACAATGTAGATTTTAACACTGATGATCACCAACACACTCAAAATTTATATGAACCATCTTATAATTACTATACAAGAGGCACAATAGGATAAAATTTTATAATTGCACAGCTGTTCGCTGTCAAAAATCCACCCTAAGGCTGCAGCTGTCTCTGATATTCATTGTGCAGAGATCAGGGTTAGGGAGTAGGTGATAGATGATGTAGCTTGTCCACAGATGCCCCCAAAATTCTGCTGTTTCGACAGAGGTTTTGATTATCTGGCCTTTTTTCTTCACAAAGAGTGGGAGGAACACTTATCCCTAAGCCATGCTCCCACCTCGAGACAATTTACTTGCAACAACAAAAACAACAACAACAACAAAGATGGACCCAGAAAAACATTACAGATGCTCTTGCTTTTTAGTCCCCTGTGTTCGCTTTGAACTTTGCTAGACAGGAACATAAATATGGGCTCTTATTAACTCAGGACTAGATTTAAAATATTGCCTGTGGCTGCATCTGACCCCATCGAAAGGAGAGTCTCAAGTTTGGAGTGTCCCTGGAGACAAGAGTCAAGCAGCATGTTCAGTTTGCAATCTATTCCACCAGAATCTGCTTGTCTACTGAGCTGCCCCCTCCATACCATGGTGTCAGATGAAGGTAGAACAACACATGCAACAGGAATAGAGGGAATTGTGGCCAATGGCATAGTAGAAGGTTAAAGGGCGAGAGTAAATGCCTTTCTGCAAGCAGCTGACCTGGAATTGAATTTCTGCATTGAGAAATGCTTTTCAACCCTTTTTGTGTGTTGTATAGCCTGGTTTTAATCAGTTTGGGCTGGGGTTTGGACATCGGCCATTTTTAAAGTCTTCCTGGATGATTCCGCTAAACAGGTAGAGTTGTGACCAGGGCCTTGATGTTCAGCTGCACAGGTCTTCCCATATCACTCTTTTACCCACACAGCCTGAGATATAAACAGTGTCCTGGAGTTTAACACAGAGCAGGCTTGGCTGGGGAGCTACTGGCATTGAAGAAGGGTAGTGAGCTTGGGAATAGCTGCCTCCGGACTTCAGTGATGGGCTTCTGACTTACTAGCTATGTGGAGTGAGCAAATTACTGAGCTTCTGTCCTCTCACCTATACAGCAGAAGTCCTCTGTATGTTTTGTATAGTGGTAAAATTTAAATAAGGTCGATTCTGTAACTGGAGTGCGGCATAACCCTGAGGCGTGGTGATCCCTGTATCCATGCCAAGTTCCCAGGAGATGCACAACATTTCTGGGGCACTGGCTTCCCTTCTGGAACACACAGCTTCTCAGCATTCTGGATGCTTACAGCCTGACATGCTGTGCTGGGAAACCTACTATGCGCTGCTTGATGTCCTGACTGGGTCTAATTCCATCAGCCATCGCTGCAGAATTAACTGTAGTCAATATTCTCTGAGCAGTTTTCCTGAGATACTTGTTGTTTGCATTTTCTGATTAATTTTTTTTTCCTTGCCCATTTTAATCCTGAGAGTAAATAAACTGGGCAGTTATTAAAAAAATTGTTGAATTTTCCATAGAATTTCTCTTGGCTCCTTGCAAGTTATTACTGGAATCCTGCCCTGAGAAGTAAGCTTTCTATTACCGTGAAAGAAATTTTAAAAATGTAAAAACCTAATTAGCCTTCGAGTTAATGCCAAGGCATTTTGTGCTAATGGAATAAACAATGGCCTGAAGGTAAAGTTGCTAGAACTATACTGAGAAAAATAACAGACACCTTCTGTTTTTCTCCATTTTCACTCCACGATGTGAAGGTGGCAGTCCCGGGTTTCTGGTGGTGTTTCAATTTCTTATGCAACAATTTAGGCAGATTAGCTGAACTGGCCACTGCCAGCCTTTAATTAGTCACTGAATTAAATAACGATCGGAGAAGCAGACATTGTGATTGATTAATCAGTTATGCAGAAATGCTCACATGTTGCTATTGAACACGGGCCAGCCTTGTACATCAAAACTACTATGACTCCTGTGCATAGGATTTCACATAAAAATACAGTTCTGGATATGCTTACACCAAAGAAAGTTACCCATGGGTTCTGTAAATTTAACTGGGCATCTTGTGGTTTTATTTGCTAAATCTGGTAAGTCATGACCTAAGTGATTTTCCTTCCTTTTCTTTTCATGTGGTCCAATCGATAACTCTTTCCATGCCTTGCATCAGGCTGAGAGAGGAAGGAGGCCAAAGCTGAGGTCAGCGCCCTCTCACTGGGGGTGGATATGTCCTTCTTGCCAGGGTCTCCAGTGTCAAGGATGGTATTAGGCTTTAAAAGTCTGCTTTTCTGCTGCCTTTTTGGCTGGGACTGATTTTGCCACCAGAGCCTAGGTTAAATGCCTAACTCTGCGATGACTAGAAATGTCTTTGCAAGGAGGACAAATTAGGGGAGATGAATAGCTATGCCACCAAGGTTTATCGAGCACTTGGTAAGCCTGAGGCCTGGTAGCAGGTACTCTGCATATAGGAACTGTACTAGCACTGCCCAGGAGAGGGAAACTGAGGCTTAGCAAAGTCGAGCACCAAGCCTGAAGTCACATTTGTAGTAAGTGGAGGGGCAGGAGGGCACAGCCTTCCCCAGAATGCTCTGCTGGTGAGGAATGTTCTCACTGGGGTGATTTTACCTTTCAGAGGCCATTTGACAATGCCAAAAGACATTTCTTTTTTTATCTTTATTAAGTTTATTGGTACATTTTGGGCATACAATACATTTACATTCATCATTGGGATCTTGTACCTTTACGTGACTTGGTTCTTATTTTTTCCCCATTCCCCAGCCCTCCCTTCAGCCCTTCCACCCTTTCCAGTTTATAAAGACATTGTTTCCATGTTTTTCCTTTTCACATATTTTTTTCTCTTCCTTTTTACCTTTCCCCTACCCCTCCCACTTTTAGCCCTTTTCTTCCTATTACACAATATGAATTATACATTTTGATCCTTATTCCCATTTTTAGCTTTTCACACCAGAGAAACTATTTGGAATTTACATGTGTGACTTACTGATTTCGCTCAAGAGTGTGGCCTCAATGTGCATCCATGTAGCTATAAATATCTGATCATCATGGCTACGGAGGGGTGGATGGCACTGCTGGTGCTGATAGGGTAGAGGACAGGGATACTGCTGGGGACCACGAAGCACAGGGCAGCCAACACTACAGGATTATCCAGTCCTGAATATTGGTAGTGCTGAGGTAGAAACCTCCCACCCAAGGGAGAAGGCGGGAGGAAATTGCGGAAGGGCGCGCATATTTCCACGTTAGTCGCCATGAAACTAGGGTATAGGGTGGGTGGACTTGTATCCAAAGCAGCCCCCAGGCTTTGGAGGGTAAGGGCAGGGCCAGGGAGGGACAGGCATGTCCAGAGAAAGGCTGGCACTCCACTTGATGATTGCTTACCATGGTCACGGACTTCTTGACAATGTGTCTTGACTTCTTTTGTCTCAAATTCCATATCTCCTATAAAATTAAAGTTAGACAATATCATAACTTGTGTCCTTTCTTTTTCATGTTTTCTTCTAGAGTGAAAAGTTTTATGTCTTTAAGTTTGAAACAAATGGATTATTCCATGAATCTGTGATAAAGTAATTCACCAGGCTATTTTATGTTAATACTTGGATGTGGTCAAAAACTCCAGTCAATGCTTAAATTCTAAAAGTTTATTACAGTAAAAGAGGTTGCCATGAATCACCCTCAAAATACTCCCTTTTGCTTCAGACACACTTACGCCGCCCTCCTGGCTACCTTCTGAAGCAGTTCTGGAAGCACTGTACTCTTTCCTGAGTGTCTTTAGTCTCACTGTTGTGAATTGATTCAAAACATGTACAGCAACTTATGTCAAATAAAGACTTGACAGCGTGTGGGCCAGGGATTTAGCCCAGTGGTTCCGCCCCTTGCCTCCTAAGTGCAAGGTCCCAAATTCAATCCCTGGTTAAAAAAAAAAAAAAAAAAAAA